CCGGCTCCGAAAAATATGAAATATAGATATTGGAAAATTATTACAGGTATTTTAATTCTACACTCCTCAAAATAGGAATAACCCAGCAACATGTGAGTATAAAAAACAAGTCTTCTAGAGCCACAAGTACTAAGCAACATTGAACTAATAAAAATGGATTTTTATCTAAGCAAATACTATGTCCTCTCTGTCGAAGTTGGACTTACCTAGTCGGACTATTTGTCCCAGGTAAACGTATTCGTCAACAACTTCGAGCATAGTGCTCCCAACAACTACCGGCATAGGTGTGACATGGACATTGAACATGATCTTTGTTTTGTCCATGTTCATCTTAAGACCTATCCGTTGGGAGGCACTATTGAGGTCATTGAGCATAGTGCTTAAGTCCTCCAGCGATTCTGCCATAAGGACTATATCGTCGGCAAATCGAAGGTGAGTGATGTACTCGCCATTGATGTCGATACCGTATCCTTTCCAGTCCAGTAGCTTGAAAACGTCTTCCAATGCAGCGGTGAAGAGTTTCGGGGGAAATAACGTCACCCTGTCTTACACCTCTCTGCAGTTGGATAGGTTTCGAGCTCTGGTTCTGTACTCGGATAGCCATCGTAGCCCTACTGTACAAACACTTCAGCACTTCGATATACCGACAGTCAACTTGGCACCGCTGAAGGGACTGTAGCACCGCCCAAATTTCGACGGAATCAAAGGCTTTCTCATAGTCCACATACGCCAGGCAAAGTGGCAGATTGTACTCTTCAGTCTTCTGTACAATCTGCCGCAGGGTATGTATGTGGTCTATGGTACTGAAGCCTTTTCGGAAACCGGCTTATTCGGGAGGCTGAAAGTTGTGGAGTCTGCGTGCGAGACGATTCGTAATGACTCTCGAAAACAGCACGTAGACGCGGCTCAGAAGGGAAATCGGTCTGTAGTTCTTTAAGAGAGCGTTGTCGCCTTTCTTAAAGAACAAGACCACCGCACTTCTGCTCCACGCCTCTGGAGTAGTGCCACCATGGAGGACGGAATTGAAGAGCTTCTGAATGACTTCAAGTACCGGTGTTCCACCCGCTTTCAGAAGCTCCGCTGTAATTCCATCCTCGCCTGGGACCCTGCCGTTTTTAAGGTGCTGGAGAGCCATTCTAATCTCGCTTAGACTGACGTCCGGGATATCATCGGAATAGTGTCGGATAAGACTTGCTCTTGGATCGTTACTCACACTTGCGTGTGGCTCCAACGATGATGTGTACAGCTGCCCATAGAACCTCTCAATCTCACTCAAAATCTCAGGTGTCCCGGAAACGATGTTGCCACACTCAGTCTTCAGCCTTGACAGTTGGCTCTTTCTGGCAGACAGATCTCTGGCAAAGACTTTGGAGCCCTGGTTCCGCTCGATCGCTTCTTTAATACGAGAAGTATTAAAGTTGCGTAAGTCTCGCCGTATGCATTTGGAGATCTGTCTGTTCAGTTGCCTGTATGCTGTCAAATCTGTTGACGATTGCAGCCTCATCTCTCGTCTAACAGCCATGAGATTAAGAGTGTGATCGGAGAGTTTTTGTGTTCTTCTGCGGCGGGTCTTGCAGAACTTAGCTCCGACCGCATGGACGGTTTCCACGAGCTTGTCGTTCATATCGTCCACTGCATTGCAATCTTCTAGGCACTGGAAGCGGTTACGTAACTCGAGCTGAAAGGTTTCGGGATTCTGGATTAGAGCACGATGGGGACGGAGCGTTGACTTCATTAGACGAGACCTCTCCAACTTAACGTTTAGGTTCAGTGTGCCTCTAACCATTCGGTGATCGCTGCCAGTTTTCACCCTTGCGATCACTGAGACATCACTGAACAGTTGGCGTCTGGTCGTCATAATGAAGTCAATCTCATTTTTTGTCAAACCGTCGGGGCTCGACCAGGTCCACTTCCTGTGGGGCCGCTTCTGGAAGAAAGAGTTCATCATAAAGAGTCCCTCTTTCTCCATAAAGTCGGCCAGCTGCTGGCCCCTTCGGTTCCGTTGCCCTACTCCAAATTTCCCTACCTTCAGCTCACCGCTTTCTCTTGTGCCCAGTTTTGCGTTGAAGTCTCCCATCAACACCGTGTAGTGGGTTTTGGGGGAATGTATGGCTCTGGAAATATCCTCATACATTTCCTCCACCTCCTCATCGGGACGTGCCGAGGTTGGTGCGTAAACCTGAATGACCTTCATCGAATACCGTTTGGTGATTCTGAGTATCAGGTACGCGACCCTCGTCGACACACTCCCAATCTTTACAACGTTGTTGACGAGAGACTTGTGGACGATAAATCCTACACCTCCTTGGGACAGATGGTCGCCCTCCCGGTGATAGAACAAGTTGCCGGACTCGAGGATTGCCGTGTCCTCCCCCTCTCTTCGGACCTCGGATAATCCAATAATATGCCAGCGCAACTTGTCTACCTCTTCTTCCAGCTCCAGTATCTTCTCGTCAGTCCTCAGGGTGCGTGCGTTATATGTTGCCAGGTCGAGTCGTCGTAGGTGGCAACCGAACCTCCACCGGAGATTCTTAGCACCCCCTGCCCCGCCGTTACCATGGTCGCCACCGTAGCCAGGAATAGCGGGGCCGCCGGGGACTGGGGGCCGTCTGTTTGTGTATTTATTCATTGGGGGGTAATTGCCATAGTTGCCACGCTTGGCGAGCGGGTTGGCAACCGCAGTTTTTTATTACGTCACAGTTGTCATCAGGAAGACGCTGCTGCCCATCTCCTGCCTGTCGACGGATTCAACTCGGCTGGGCAGCGTTCGGGAAATTACAGCATATCTTTTCGTCAGGAATACCTTAATCTCTAAAAACTAGATTGTACAACCAGTGCGTGTTGCCAGTGATGACTTACGGATCTGAGACGTGGTCCTTCACTGCTGGCCGTATGAGGACGCTTAAGGTCGCTCAGCGAGCTATGGAGAGGGCTATGCTCAGAGTTTCTCTGCGTGATAGACTCAGAAATGAAGATATCCGCAGTAAAACCAGAGTGACCGACATAGCCCAACGGATTAGTAAGCTGAAGTGGCAATGGGCCGGCCATATAGCTCGAAGAACCGATAACCGATGGGGAAGAAAGGTTCTCGAGTTGCAGCCTCGTACCGGTAGGCGTAGTGTAGGGCGACCCCCCACTAGATGGAGTGACGACCTGGTAAGACATGCAGGAAGTCGATGGATGCAGGTGGCTCAGGACCGTGCTTTGTGGCATTACTTGGGGGAGGCCTATGTTCAGCAGTGGACTTGTGAAGGGCTGTAATGATGATGATGATGAAATACTATGTCCAGCACGCCAAAGTCGTCTATGGTTGACCGCTAGTGTCAAACGCGGGAGGCATAGATTTCTTGAAAACTATCCAAAATTCAGCTCAATGGTGTTTTTTTTCTATTATTATTGATATTTGAATAAAATTAAAGGTTAGAAACATAAAACTATAATTAACTACATGAATAAAAAATGTTATCAGATTATCTTCGCATAATAAATCTAATATCTCAACTCTAGCGCATCTTTAGCGCGTCATCGAAAATCAGTTCACTGGGCACCGTGATCAAGGATAGACGACACCCTGATGACGTCATAAGTGATTACCGAGAAAAGTAGAGCAATGCAACATGAACGATTCCTCAGAACTCATTCGGATTTTGGAAAGCGTCGATCATGATGAATTTTGATTTTTGATTGATTGGTGAACAAATATTTATTTATTCCATGACCAAGATTTTAGTATTATACGGCTGATTTACCTAGTGCGAATAATTATATACAATTGTTGATTAATGAATAATTATGTACCTTCTTTAATAATAATACAAAATTACAATTAATGTTTTTTTTACTTAGGGTGTGAAGAGCAATTTTTCATTTTGTGTTGTGCCATTTTCTTTCTCAGTCTCAAAATCATCTAGCAGAATCAGCATCATATCAAATCCCCATTTTCATAAGAGTGTAAGACTATTCTTCTGTGCGTCACTTGGCCTACGCCTTCCCCGACACATAAAATATTATGAATCGATGTCTGTATATTTCGGTTAGATCGATTTTGAAATCGATACACAACATTCTAAGAATGTTTCAAAAAGGAAGGTCAGCTACGCCGTTGTCGTCCAGTCGCGTCGTCGTCATCGGTGTTGTCATTAGGATGGAGAGTAGTGCTGTGGTTTACTACTATTTTATTGTTATTGTTTGTTTTTTATTTATGTTTATATGTACAAAGTACATATATAAAAAGAGTGGAAGACGGCACAAGATTAAATAAAACATACAGTTTATTAAGAGTCATTTATAGCATAAAAAACCAACAAAAACAAGTTATTTCACCTTATCGATATATCAACTCTTGGCAACACTATTTTGTTTTGGCGCTTTGGCGTACAGGACACGGTAATGCGTTTTTGGCGTGGCGCTCAAAAGGTTAAAAGCTTAACAAAACGCAACTACACAATTTAACTGTTCCTAAAAATACATTTCAAATAGCATTTAAATAAATAAAGGAAAATATATTTTAAAAAGCCTGCAGAACTTAAAGCGCCTCAAAGTTTGTTTTTTAACGATATTATTAATCGAATAAAAATCGATATCCTTTCATCGATTTTATGTCAGTTAAGTGGCAACATCGAGTCTGACAGCTAAGCCCTGTCATAGAATGAAATCACAATTCAGTTCACAACTATAGTCATTTGTTTGTTTTTATTTTTGTGAATTTGTTATCGAAGTAACAAACAAGCGTTATAATTGGACTCTGACATTTTATCCCACCCTACTGACCACGGCCTGAACATGGACTCCGCACCCGCTTCCTTCAATAACCCCTGCACGAACTTGGACTCGATATCCACTGTTAACAATGATCCCAGCTTCCACGCCGGCCAGACTTCTTCCCAGCCCTCGGTAACTCATTCAAGAGGACATTTTCGCTGTGTTAATTGTTGTTTAAATATAGCGAAAACACGAAGGCATTTGTTGGAAATTCCAGAACTGCGAAATCTTATACAAGAATGGGTTCGACCACAGCAGGTAAATAGTTACAATTATGTGTCATGTCTTCCTTTTCTTCATTCTACAATAATTATGGCTTCTTTATTAGGTACAAGTTTCGAGTGATAGTGTAGTATGCCACGCATGTTGGACTGCAGCCTGGAATCAAATACGACATCCAACTAGCGAACAGGAAAATTCACCAATTATTAGTCATGGACATGTATGTATCAGCTGTGGCCAGTCACTTTTGAGAATAAGATCACACACATTGTTTGGGTCTGATTCTCTACGTGAGGAACTCATAAGGAATGAAATTGCCCATCAAATTGCACCACGTGAGGTACGTGTTCAACATTTTTTTAATTTATTAAGTGTGTGTGCTCATATCTGATAGTGATACATGTTTTTACTCTGATTACATCCACACAAACTATATCTGACAAACATACAAGCTTATTTATAACATGGCGATAAGATTAGTTTGTCACCACCAGGTAGAGTGCTACCGTTTTTACCAACTACCAAGTAATGAGACAATTGATTTTTCATTGTTTTTGGACTACTGGTAGTTTTTAAGTGCTTAATTATTAAATAATATAGGCCATTAAATCTGCTTTTGTGCAGTAACAATTAACTTGATAAATATTTTATATGTATTTGAGTTTAAAGGAAACAAATCTATTTTATTTTTATTTAGTTCACTTTTTCACTTTTGTATTTAATATTATTTCAGTTACCATCGTCATATCGTGTGTTTCATAATTGTTGGCGAAGGTTTGATAGAGCAGCATCACATTCAACTGCAGAACGGGAACCATCTGAATCATCCAGTTCATCCTCGTTGCAATCTGAAGTCGGTAATGTATTGCACCCAGATCAACAAAGCTTAGATCATATATCACATAGTATACTGCTACCTAATTGTGTAAGAGCACCACTAACACAAAATCAATGTTTTTTTCCTGGTTGTAACGACTCCAATCGACTAATTGTTCCAACAGCGTTGCGGGTACGTCTTTTTTTGTGATTACAATTACTATGTACCTCCAGAATGTAGAATCTGTAACTACCTTTTAAATAGTAACTCTTGGGATTTACTTTTAGAATCAATATATAATCCTATTAAAACATTTAGTGCAGCACAAATTGAAGATTTTGCTACATTATTGAAAGATAATATGCATAATCATATAGACTTTGAAAATATTGACAGTATGCCTGAGCACACTGTACATTATTATCTAGGCTTATCAAAGGCACAATACCAACAAATTCTCTCTGTAGTTCCTAGACTGTCAAGTAAACATAGGGGTTGTTTTGCACTTGCTGCATATTTAATGAAGTTAAGAATAGGAGATAGTGACGAACGCATGTCAGCATTATTGCAAGTGCCAAGAAGCACATTAGAGCGGCTTGTAAATATGGCCCGCGAAATAATTAATCAGGATTTTGTTCCTATGAATTTGGGCATAAATCATATATCCCGAGCAGAAATAGCTCAAAGAAATCTTCTCATTCCAAATGGACTTTATGGGGGAGAAAATAGGAGGCCTGTCATAATTGCCGATGGTACATATATATACATAGAAAAAAGTTCCAATTATTTATATCAGAAAAAAACTTACTCATTACACAAATATAGCAATCTTATAAAACCTTTCCTTTTTGTGTGTAGTGATGGTTACATCATAGATGTTTTAGGCCCTTATCCTGCAACAACCTCAGATGCGGATATCATAAAAAATGAATTTGGTAATGAATCCAGTTCATTAAGGCAATATTTTGAATCTGGAGATGTATTCATCCTAGATAGAGGCTTTAGGGATTCATTGCCTCTTTTAGAACATTGTGGTTATCAGGTTCATGTACCTTTGTCTCCACCCGATGGTGAATCTCAGTTAACGACTAGAGAAGCTAATAAGTCCAAAGCTGTGACTATGTGTCGATGGGTAGTCGAGGTGGTGAATGGCATTTTTAAAACTCAATTTAAAATATTTCGCCAAAATTATTTTAACAGGGCTTCTAAACATTTGATGATAGACTTTGCTGTGGCTGCTGCTCTAATTAATAAATTCCACACTAAAATAAGGGACAGGGATGATGCGGCTCAAATACTTGAAATAGTTCACCAAAATATGGAGACAAATAATGATTTGTCTGAGTATGTTAGGGAACGAAATCTAAATAGAGCTAGGGCAGACTTTAGAAATATAAATGTAGACTCTGAAAATGTTAGGGAATTTCCTGTTTTAACTTACAGTGATTTAATATTAATTGCTTGTGGCACATACCAATTAAAGCAAGCTCGCTCCTATTATGGTGAGCATATTAGATTTAATGGTTGCTATCGGATAGAATTATGTAACAGCCACAGGAGCAGCATTACGGAAGGAATAAACTTTAGCCCTAGCTGCTCTTTACTTAGGGCTAGAATCGCAAGTCGACACATCAGTCGTAAAGTATATTTTATATATATTTTAATTAGTGGCAATGATTCTGGTAGAAGTGCAATTAAAAAGTATTGTTGCAATTGTATTGTCGGCCGTCGAACGGTAGGATGTTGTGCCCATGTTATGACAGTAATTTGGTATTTGGGTTGGGCACGGCATCAGTCTAATATTTCGCCTCCTGCTCAATTCCTGGATAATGTATTGATTGTGTATGATACAAATGTTGTATAAGATTGTATATATAAGATAAGATTCTTCGTACGTGGTAGGGTCATGCTGCAGTTATAGTTGTAGCATGAATGGGTCGGCTCTACCAGGGAAGGACCACGCTCTCACAGAGTACCGGCGTAAAATAGTAGCTTAATGCTGCTGTGTTTCGGATAGGGAGTGTAGAGAACCAGAGACCCTGGCAACGAGGCATTCCATCCTAGTCCTCACGGGTGGCAACACATCTGTATTTTGATTCGTAATCGAGGATAGATGTTGATGTCTATGAGCCACAGCAACCACTTACCATCAGATGGACTGTGCGCTCGGTTGTCACGCTATCCTATAAAAAAATCATAAAATAAATTAAAGATCTGATCAAAACTTGATTATGATATTAGTTAGTTTACGACGGGCTGTTTTCCGCAACTCCACGTCTAAGCGTGTATTTTACGTGTGGGCAGGAATAATGTGATTACTAAAGGCAAGCAATAATAAAAAGTTATATATAATTCCTATAATATAATAATAATTAAGTTAATTTGCGTCAACCCCCTTAATTCCCTTACACACATTAGTGTTTAGGAGAAAGGATGTGAGGCTAATGGGTCTCTAGGATTTAGGATTTGCGTATACACTCCTACCTGGTTTGGGTATGAATGTGACTTTCACTTTCATACCCAAACCCTGGGAACACATCTCATTATGACAACAAGTCTGCCTATTAAGGCCTTCCCCCCCCCCACCACCACAGTAGGAGTGCTGGGAATCTGCTGACAGGTCCTGCTAGCTTATTGGGGAGGAAATTATGAATTTTTCCTGCGCCCTCTTTTCCCAAAAGAGGGTCGCTTCCGATACGGCATAAGAAGCTTAAACAGTCAGTTGCCAGTCCCCAAAGGCGGTTTTTAGAGGGTATCTCTTAGGTTCCCCCCGGTAGGCAGTGAGTCCCTCATAATCACGATAGACCGGCTATCGTGGTATGCGTAATGCATTTTCCGCCTCCCTTCATAAAGAGTAGCCCTTTCCAATTGCTTCGGGCGCAAAAAAAAACCAATGGATTTTATCCATTGTTACCACTCTGTGCTAAATTCCATTCAGTGATTAGATATTATACTAGAGGCCAATAATTCCTTAGCATTCCCAGATGTGTTAGTCATCCGAAATTCTATTAACACCATAGGTTACACTGTATATAGAAAAAAGTCCCATACAAACCAATATTTAAACGGTGAATCTCACCATCAACCTTCACAGTTAGCTACCGTGGGCAACTCTTTGTTACAGAGAGCACAAGGGATCTGTGAGCGCAAACACCTGGCTGCCGAGCTTCAGCACGTCAAGCAAGTTCTGCACGACAACAAGCTTCGGGTCCCGCACCTATGTCACAGTGACCGAGTGAAGTCGGGCACAGTCGAGCATGTGCCTGCTGTACTACCATATTTCAGAGGTAATACGGACAAGATTGGCTACATCTAGAAGCGAGCTCCTATTAGAACATTCTACAAGCCGCTGAAGAAGATACATATAATATCAGATTTGATAGACCACAAATCCTCGCGAAAGAACATCGATTCCAGCCAAGGATTATATGTGAGGCTATTGAAATTAAAAACATTCTAATTTCAATAGAGAAGGAAGCTGGGTACTCCCACCTGTTTAGGACCCTGTAAATAATAAAATTAAAACTAAACCCAAGCATACCACGCAAGACTTCAAGACAGTAAGTTCATTCTGCATATATCGGACCATAAATAGTTATTAAAAAGCTGAAGTTACTCCAAGTTAACACTGATTCGGTACACCAGTCACCTCAATCCCCCATGACCATGTGTGCTGGAAAGCACCCGAAACGTCGAGAATTAAAAATCAAAGAAATTAAACGCGATAAAATCGGTAAAATTAGTTGTTAAAAAACTGTATTTGTGAAAATAAAAACTTTTATATCTTAAAATTCCCGACTTTTTTTTAAACCAATTTCTTAACCATTTCATTCTTTTAATTGTATATTATCATATCTATATGCTTTTATATGTGGGCACCCATGGCCGAAATGTCTATGAAGAGTGGGCATTCCTCTTTGACTAAGTAACAAAATTTGTAATATGGGAACATTTATTAAATTGAATTGTGTCTGATCATTGGGGATTAATAAAGAACAACATTTAAAATTAAAATATTTTATTTTTCGTTAATTTACAACAAATGTTCAAATTGTTTGCCTGACACTTATGCATGCCCTACATCTTCGGATAAATGATCTTCTGAGCAGTCTAGTGTACCGTCGCTCGCATATTTTTGATGCGGCTTCTCTGACATGACTGCGTAGTTCGTCCAAAGACCGCACGGGCTTACAGTATACTTCCTCTTTCAGACAGCCCCAGTAAAAAAAAATCCAATGAATTTAGATCCGGTGAACGTGGAGGCCACAAAATTGGCCCTAGACGTCCGATCCATCTATTTGGGTATCTGCTATTTAAATATGCACGAACCGGAACAGCATAATGCGCAGGACAACCGTCATTTTGCAGCCAATACGATTCCCTCAGCTCCTCGGGAACCTCTTGTAATAAATTGGGGAGATCATTTTGAAGAAACTCCAAATAACTTTCCCCCTTTAAATTCCCCGGTTATTCAAATGGGCCAATTATCGTACCATTTAATATTCCGGTCCAATAATTTATTTTAAATTGGTATTGTGACCTGTCTTCACGCATAAGATGGGGATTTTCTAGTTCCCAACTATGTAAATTGTGTAAATTTAAGTAACCGTCTCTTTTAAGCGTTGACTCATCGCTCCACAAAATTTTATTAAAAAATTGCGGGTCTTCTTATATCTATGCCAGCATTTGCCGGCAAAAACGCACTCTTGAGAGATAATCTCTTGGTTGGAGAGTTTGCACGCGTGTAACGTAGTAAGGGTGGAATTCGTTTTTCTTTAAAATATCGTGTACGGTCGATTTTCCAATACCTGTGCGTCGAGCTATTGCTCGCGTAAAGGTTGAAGGATCGTTTTCAATATCCTCAAACACCACGTCTTCTACATCAGGACGAGCGATTCTTCCAGCGGTAGCACCACCGACACCACTACCCGGCATTCTTCCTTCAGAGTAACAACCGTGGACTCTTATAAATACACGCCAGTCTGGGTGGCGAGCATTAGGGTACCTCTCCCTATAAAGAGCTGCGGCTGCATTTGCGTTGCCTCTGCATTCTCCATAAATAAAATGCATGTTTGCATATTCTTGTGCCGTGTACTGATGACGTGGCATTTTGATAGGTACACAAAAGTCCAGTTTAGTCCAGAAACAAGCCAAACCGTCGAAAATATCACCAAACGTAAAACAAGTCCAAATCAATAAGAAAAACAAATAGTCCGGTAAAATAGCCAAGTGGTCGTTTTAACACTGATTTAAATAATTGCAAAGGAGACAAAATAAATACATGCGAAGTCGAGCAGGTCGTGTGACGCACTAAGTTCTCTTTTACATTTAGCTCTTCTCTCTCCCACTTACCCAATTCAGACCTCTCTTTGTCTAACACAAAAGGCAGCAGGTAGCAAATATGAAGGTCACACGACCCATTTCACGCTAGTAAAGTAACCATTTCAAGATTTAAATTGGTTATTTTATTACATTTAAATAAGTTAATTTCTAATACTTAATTTGGTTTCAATTTGTTTAAAAATAGCTGTTTTCATGTATGATCAACTCCTGATGTGTTTTTATTAATTCCCAATGATCAGAGACAATTCAATTTAAAAAATGTTCCCATATTACAAATTTTGTTACTTAGTCAAATTTTCTCCTTTTCTACATTAATGGTAATAAGTCACTATTTATGGAAGATACATTTATGAATTATACCATTATAAAATCTACACGAAACCGATATTATTGTAAAATTATTGGTCACCCATATATTCATACATTTTTTTCATACCCAAGAGGTTTGAACTTCGCTTAAATAATATTTTTTGCATGTTTTTCAGAAATAAATTGATTTGCGAATTTTTTAAATAAAAACTGCAAAAGCTATTCATATTGTTTACATTTTACCTATAAGTACAGTTAGTGTATAATAATAATATAACAAAAAACCAATAGAAATCATTCATTTTTGGTCATAGTGTTCAAGACAGTAAAATAAGATAGAAAAGAATCGACTTTTCTTTAAAAAAAATATATCAAAGGTACTACTTGTGATATATTATTTTTCGTATTTTTTTCAGGACGGCCATAAGTTGTACTATAAGACATTTCAAGGTTATCCATTCATTACCGGACACCCTGTATAAACTTCAGACTAGTACTGAGTTTGTTCCGGGTATTTAACCCAGAAATTCTTGCTTGGCACTTGCAACCACTGAGGCAGTGCTTTACATTTTCCAAATAAATTAAAAATAATAAAATATACATGAGCTATTCAATATACACTAAATATTAATAAATCTTACTTTTAATTATAAATTTATAAGCCAACTTGTCGTCTTTTGTGTTTTTTGTACACAACTACTATATTAATTTTGTTGAAAATTTAATTTATGTTTTTCATATTTTAGGTTCTCAATCTTGCAATGACCCAGGACCATCAAGACGTCTCCATGTTACCCCAGCAAATATTGTGGCATCTCCGCTTGTTCCATTTGTGGAGGTAGAAGTGGAAAGTAAGATAGAAGTTTAATTATTCATGAAGGTGATAATTTCAAATAAATTTGTTAACATATTACCATTACATAAATTATTACAGATACAAGCATGCTCTCTCCAACTATGCCGTCATCTCAAGTGCAAGAAATTCAGCCAGGGCCTGCTTTGTCCGAGCAATCAACACCTCGCCATTCTAGACCTATTCGAACTCGGGGATCACATAGAAGACGAGTGAGGCCACACACACAGAGCAGGCAGCACAACAGTTTCTCCAAGCCGAAGAACACTGGAGAAATTTTAAAAGTCAACAACACCAAGACTTTATGGACATGAGAAGGGAGCAAAATCGAATTAGGGAGTTGGAAGTTCAGGCTCAGAGAGAGTGGCAAGCATTAGGATTAAGAGCTTTAGATATTTTGGATAAATTAGTTAATAAGTATTGTAAAGATTAGTCAATTAATATTTGTTTATTTTAACTCTATTATGTGTTGTCTAATAATATTGTTGTTACTAATACTATTTTACTATTAATTATTTAGATTTGTGATAATGATTAAGGCTGATTAATAAAAGAAAGATTTAAGATTATTAAATTTTATTTATTTACTCCTTATTGTAATCTTCTTGCTAATTGATCTCTCAACATTCTACCTCTAATTAAATCAGAGGTAGCTTCTCCTCTTTCTGTATAGCTTATTTGGTCACATTCTATTGTCCTTTCAAATTGCAGACCTAAAAATAATCGAAAATTAATAAGTTTACTATTTATAAGTTAGCTTAATATATTATAGTAATTTGAATTGAAATTAAGATACCCACCAATATTTTCCTCTGTGTCCTCAACACCAAAATTAATAATTATATTATGTAGCACAGAGCATGCTAAAATAATGTGTGCACATTTTACAGACTTGTAATGCAGAACTCTATCCTTGTGCAGACATCGCCATCGATTTTTCAGCCTTGAGAATGTGTTTTCAATGACAACTCGAGCTTGCATATGTTTATTAGACTCAGCGTTTTATACTGCAGATATATTACCCAAAAGCCAAAACATTTCTCCATTTCGGTGCAAAGATTGCATATATGTGTTTAAATCACTGTTTTCCCATATAAAGGAATCATGATTTGCACCTCCAAACTTGGAATTGACACTTAAAATTCTATATTCATCATCACATACCTGAAAGGAAAACATTTTTTTTTATTTTCTGCCCCTTTTTAAGCAATCAATAATATCATTCAAATAAAAATAACTTTAGATTTACCATTTGAACATTAAGGGAATGGTAGTGCTTACGACTATAATACAAATGTTCCTCTTCTTTTGGTGGGACAACTATTTTAAAATGACTTCCATCAATACAACCAACTACTCCAGGGATTCCATATTTTCTGTAAAAACTAACTTTTAAAATAAGTATTTACTGAATCAAATAATTTGCTTAAGGTTTTTTAAAAATAAGTATATATTTATTACCGTTGACTAACTGCTTGTCTAGCAGATAGAGTATCAGGGAACCGAATATATTTATTAATTATATTTTTGTGTCAGCGCCTGGGTAACTTCTTCTATGTACACACTGCACATTTTTTGTGATATGTGCTTTGCAACTCCAACTGGACTTTGGTAGGATCCAGTTGCAAAAAAGAATAGAGCAGTGAGCACCTGCAATTAAAAAGAGAACAAACTTATACTTGCACTTGTTTTAAACTTGCCTTGCAAAAGCGTAAAAAAATTAATGATCAATTTGTGTTCCAAGGAAACGCGTTGAGAGGACCTAAGATTTGTCAAACTCCTTAGCTCTTTACATAAAAACTTGAACACTTTCTTGGAAAAGCGATATCTATCTTTGAATTGCCTCTCCGTGAGGTGTGACAAGGGATTGAAAGATGCACGAGCTCTTGTTTCAACATTGGCGTTATAATTGCGGTCATCTTGTGCCTTAGCGGCTGTAAACATCCTCCATGCGAAATAAAAACGTCCTGCCATACTTAAATATCATTCACAAAATACGAAATAAAATTACTAAACCTTCAACAATTGTTCTCACTACACTGTCTCACTGTAAAAATCTATGTGAAAACTTTTTCGATAGCATCAGAGTAAATTTTGTTTATGTTACGTCTCGAATGATTGAAATTGCCACTCGCACTCGCAATGTACTCGAGAGCATTTGAAACGACCAATCACAAGCGTTAACGTTCTCACTGTCAAATGCTATTCAATGTTCAATGGTCGATATCGACGACGTAATAAACTCGCACTTAGGAGTTGTGTTTCAAATATGTTATATATTGATAAAAGTGTTGGTATGCCTTACGGGGGCTGATAAAGGATCTAGTACTACCTGTATCTACCATTAATTTTGCATCTATTTCAGGAATATAAATATAGGGTAATTTGAGATTCGGATCACAATTTAATTCTATAACTTCTTGTCTCCTATCGAGACTTTCATGTGAAAATATTCAATAGTTTGAATTTGAGTTTCGTCTGTAAGTTCGTTATAAATCGTTTCGTCAATAGGTTTCCTCAGCGGATGGTGTCAGTTCATTGTCATACTGTTCTACATACTCGTCTGTGTCATAGTACTCGTCATAATACTATTCGTCATTTTCTCTTAAAGTTAACTCGTTTAATCTAAAGCCGGGGTGTGGCCTTAGAGGGGCTGTCCTCATGGAAACGTCAGTCTCCTGAAAATTGAGTTTCTGAATTTGTGGCTTATTGCCGAATTGCGTAGTTGGCATATGGTCAAATTGCTGTTGAGGTCTTTGACCAAACTGTTGTGGTTGAAAGCCCAATTGTGGACGGTAACCGAACTGTTGTGTCTGAGAGCCGAATTGTGGACGATAACCGAACTGTTGTGGCTGAGATCCGAATTGTGGACGGTAACCGAACTGTTGTGGTTGTTGGCCAAGTTGTGGCCGATAACCGAATTGAGGTGGACGGTAACTCATCTGCTGCATTAGTTGAGGCCCAAAGCCCGATTGGGGCATCCTAAATTGGCTTTGATTTTGAATGCCGAAATTAAATTTTGGTGTACTATTATTTGGTAATACTGGTTTGTATCCGTAAGGTTGCATTACTGTGTGAGGCGTACCTCCGAATTTAAATCCTTGCATTGGGACTGATGTTTGAGGCTGCCTTAAACCTAAACCGCTACAACCGTGGACACGATTTCGCATATTGTATTGATCGTGGAAGTTGACTTCCTCTAGTACAGTACTCAGCGCGTCCTCTAAAGTCGCTGGCTTCTTTAACCTCACTATTCGAACCATATTCTCGGGAAGATTATATAGGAACACGTTTAGGGCCGTATTATTTTAAATTGCCAATTTAGCGCTTTTAAGATTACTATCTTCGTATATGTTTACTTTTGAAATTAATAATGATCGAATACTTTGAATGCGGTTACAAAAATCTTGCTTACAAAAAGCTTTCACCTGATTTAATTTTTAAGGATTCTAATTCAATACTAATACACTCTTCGCTACGCGGGTCTCCGAAGTGCTGTGTTAACAAATCTTTCAACTGGGACCATGTCACGACATCCTCACGTTCCGATAAGAGCGACACCGCGTTATCTGTAAGCCTACTAGTTATGGAGTGATATACATATAAATTTTGTTCTTCGTCACCCCTATACCTACGAATGACATATTCAGATTTCCTCAAAAATAAATTTAGCTGTCTTTTGTCGCCATTAAAAAGTGGAATAAGCCGTAGCATTTCTGTAGGTATGGGATTAATTACAACGGTTTGTCGTTCTGCTGCCTGTGGTTGTTCCATCGTTATAGAGTAATGCACGAGTCAGAGGAGTCAGTTAATATAGTGCACTATTTTATGCAATAACAAAACATATAAGGTAGAACACACTAAAGCATATAACAATATAATTTATAAAATAAAAGTTAATCTAACCATAAATTTTGTAAAATGTGTAAATGTAATAAAAAGAAAATAAATGAAATAAAACTGTATTATATCTCTAGCATTAATAAAGTATACATTAATTAATTATCTATTATATTATAGTAAACTTTTAATTAGATTTTGATCTATTATATTATCTATTATATTATAGTAAACTTTTAATTGGAGTTTGTGCCGCGCCTGCGTGGAATACGTTCGTGTGTCTAGTTGCTACAAATTCTGTTATCAAAATTTGTTCTTAAAAATTTGTGATTGGCCAATTTATCAAGTTTCATTTTACCCTTTTATTCCTTATTACTCTAGTGCAGTATATATGGACTAACTCCGCCCAGTGGGATGTTTTAGAGTGAAATAGTACATGTTTGCGCAGTTCCTAAGTCGAAAAAGTGATAACTTGAGGGTACATACATTCGAGAGTCTCGAACCCCGTTCGTTTTGATCGTGAATAACCGCTGTACTAAACGCGCTAAAGAGTTGCTTAAGCGCACTACAAAATTACGCTCGACTTCGTGCTCACTACTGACGTCATCGACATTCATAACTTCGTTTAATTTGAACTCCTTATAAAATATTAACGCTAGAATGTCGAAGTGCGCTGCTTGCGGGAAATTTGTTAGTCCGGCTGATATTATTAAATGTAGCAGTTGTGCTAATATTTATGACAGAATATGTTTAAAGTTATCCAAAAGTTATAAAGTATCTCCAAAATGGCTTTGTCCGGGCTGTACTTCTAAACAACCACGAAAAGATAATACGGAGACTCCGATTAAGGTGCAAACAGAAATAAGCCAGAGTAGTTCCTCGAACTCATCACCTTCTAGTTGCAGTGGCTGTGATGCTACAAGTAAGATGATAGAGGAGTTACGTACGGAAATTGTCGCTATGCGCAATGAATTTGTAAACTTTGGAACAAAGTTCGACAGGCTTTACCTTGCCGTCAGCGACTTAAGTAAGCGAGTTGATGGAATAGAGAATCGGGTGGCTAATCTCGAAAAAGACGAATGCATGGAAAAATATAAGGATGAGAACAAAAAGCTAAGCGACACATTGGAGCGTCTTAAGTTCGAGTTGAACGATCGTGATCAGGAACAGCTCCTTACTGATGTAGAAATAAGTTGTATACCTGAGCATAAGGGTGAGAACGTGACTCAACTTGTTATGCTTATTGGTGAAAAATTAAATGTGAAAATTGAAGAACAGGACATTGTAAGCATCCAGCGAATGGGTCCACTGCGAGGTTATATAGAAGGAGAAGGCGCTGTTCAGCCACGACCACTTGCTGTGCGCTTGGCGCGCCGAACGCTGCGCGACCGTCTGTTACAAAGCGCGCGTGTCCGTCGCGGTGCCGATACTACAGGTTTTGGCCTGCCGGGTTCGCCGAAGAAGTTCTATATAAATGAGCGTCTTACCCGTATAAATCGCCAGTTATTCTTCAAGGCCCGTCAAATGGGCTCTAAGAGCGGTTGGAAATATGTGTGGACACGAGACGGTCGCATTTACGCGCGACGAGATCAGAACACGGAGGCACGCAGAATAAGATGTGAAATCGATCTTGTGAAGTTTTTTGGCGAACCGGTGGTTGGCTAAACTTGGAGCTTTTGCTTTTCTGTAGTTTTTTTTAACTGTTTGCTGAACCTATTTTTTAAACTATTGGTGCTTGCATATTTAACAAAATTTTTGAAAATGATTTTTAGATTAATATGTCTATGCCCTACTCGTTTTGTCATGTATCCGCTTATGTCGTTTAATAATACTGTGCTACACTTTTTAACATTATTGAACAAATTATTTGTAAGTGCTGTGACGCTGATGATACATAATGCATATTATTATGTATATACGTATATTATACATGTTATACGTTTTATATTTTCCGGTTTAAAATGCTCTCTTTATTTTTGCCCATATTTTATAATATTCTATATTATCATAATAACTTATGTCATAAACAACTATTTAATTTATTATATAACACCGATATTCAATTACACTAACTATATAAATTATGATATTCAACTTTTCAGAAAAATATTAGATAACACGGAATTTGATTTGTTATACGG